ATACAGATGTGGATGCAGTAGAACAGACATTTGCATGTAAATACAATTTATGTCCAATTTGACACCTTTTTGATGTTTCTCTCTCTCACACCCATATAGGAATTGAACTATATATCCACACTGTAAAACCCCTGCAAAATTAAAGTAAAATTCTACATGTCGCGGGCTTTAATTTACTTTAATTTTTACCGGCTATTTAATTATTAGAGGTCTTAGACTCTTTTAAAAAGAAGTATGCAAGATATCTAGATATAGCTCTTCAATGTAGAGACTAGGTTGAATATATTATCCTCAGCCCAACATAAAAATCCTAGCTATCAATTTGAACAAACATATCCAGATTAATAGCTCGTATTTAGTTTTCTTAAGACAGAAGGAGTACATCAAAATAAAAGAAAAAAAAAGCAACACACATGGTAAGCAGGGCATAATATAATTAAAAGGAAAACGAAAAAAAAATAAAGGAGCTGGTGGTGCATGATGGCAAGTGTACTTTTGGTTAGATGCACTAACTCTACTCGGGTACGTACTCAACTACACAAAGTACGTACGTACGTAGCCACGTAGGTAGCATGAGTGGTTAGACGTATGTGCATGGCCCTCTAGGTAGCCCACACCTATCACCACGTCGTCGGTCCAAATCAAAGGCCCCCTGTTCATGCTGCCAGCCACCACTAACTACACTGTGCCATGTTTTCGTACAGTACTTATACGAATTGAATTTAAATTATTTTGGATCGACGTTAATTATCGACGCCATATATGTGTACGTACTACGAATGTACGTGCATGTATGCATGGTTTGGATGGTGATCTACGGCCATATAGCCCCTCGATGTTTCACGTCACATGCATGCATGCATGAGTTGTGAGGTTTTCTTTCTTCTCCGTCTCATCACGTACGAGGTAACAACTCACTCCGTATAGATACCTTACCCAACTTAGCTATATGCATGGTATGTTTGAGGAGCTTCTCATAGCTCCAAATTCTTCTAGAATCAAAAGATCTTTTAAATTAACCGTCCAACTTACCGTTCAGATTCTAAAAATGAAGCTGTAGTTGTGAAATCCAAAAAATAAAGTAGAAGCCGAAATGTGAACCTAGATTTCTATCATAGCTACATATCTGAAACTAGAGCTTTTTCAAATACTCCATCCGTCCCATTTTAAGTGTAACCATGAGTAGATCTATAGTCAACTATATACAAGCTAAGCTGAGAGAAATTAAGATAGATTAGTGAAAAGTAACTAGAGGTCTCTTGTTAGTGAAAAAAAGCAAAGCATGTATGGGGTGTGGCATGTGTATGCTTGTTCACACGCTTAAGTATACTGTGCAAGTGGACAGTTAATTAACTGCTAGTATCAGCTAAGCTCCAAACAGTTAAGGAGAAAAAGGGAACAGTTGCTTTTGGCCAGCAATGCAAGCATGCACAGTGGCCGTGTGGTTAGGTTGCATATCTGATTAAGCAGATAGCTACAGGGCGTTCAGTGTTGACACTTCACACTGCATGCAGGTGATGTGATCTCTAGACTACAGAACACATGCACAGTGCCAGGGCTCTGTTCCATCCGAAGAACTGTCGATCCGATCGATCGATGCCTTTTTATCGATGTCCTACGACTGTCCTGCCCATGGATGATGCTGCTTGCCTGCTACTCCGTACGTACTTAATTTGATCTTGATTTATATATACATCAAGGGGGTATCTAATTATTTAACCTGAAAATACACATAAATTTCAGTTACATTTAGACGACTCCGATTACACTAAGATGTATATATACATAACATAAACCTTATCCTCCGTACATGGCCCCCTTTTTTCTTCCCCACAACACGTGTCTCGCCTTCCTAGCATGCTCCCTCACTCGCATTCCCACCCCCACTCCGCTACCTCCATCGCCCTATTGTGCTGCCACCCAGTCTTGTCGTCGGTGCGTGAAGCCGGCAAAGACACACCAGCGAGCCTTGCTCGACCGGCATCCTCCCTCGCTCCTCCCTTGACTACTACTTTTCTTCTTTAAGTATATAGACATGAAGCATCCATCCCACCGGTTTTTCCTTATAATGGTTAAGGTTGTTAAAATCATAACCTTGAATTGGAATTGAATGTCTTTAAGTAGGGTTGCAATGATATAATCGTATGCACAAAAATTATAGAATTCTACATACTATAATTGTTGAGATTCTAGCAAGTAGAATCATAAAGTCGTAAAATCATACAAGAAAGTCGAGATTTTAATAAACTTTATCACTATTAGCTTGCGGTACTGGATTCGCCTCCATTGCCCCTCCTCCTAACACTCTCGTTGTTGCCACCCCACCCCAACTCCACCCATTGCTTGACTGCCTGCTCGTTTCTGCCACCCTCTTAATTATGGGCTTCCAGTCTTCCACCTCCCTGGTGATCCCTCCAAAATCACCCTCACCTTCCTCCTATCCCCTCCACCACCTCCCAAACCGGGAACCCTAGGTCCTCAGCCACATTTCTTCCACCAAAGGTTGCCACCGCCATCGTAAAAAAATGGCCACCATCGATGAGTTACTCCTCCCTTCTTCCTCCCCCTCTCCCTTCCATTCCGAGCTTAAAATTAAAGACGACTCTGTGGCTGTTGAATTTTACAGTCAACAGGAGCAGGTGTTTAAGATTTGGAAAATCTCAATCACCTGAAAACTATTCCCCTAATAGTAATTAGTTTTGGATAAGTGATCTTCGTATCAATGAGAAAAGAAACAATGGCACGTGAATTTTGCTGCCTGACGCAGATGACACAGGTGCCAGGGGCATATGTCAGTTCACTTTCAAAGGAAAGAAGAGAGATCTCGAGAGTAATAATGCTAAAGCAAAACACGAATGTATATATATGCAGGACGGTAACTACAGGAGCATCGTGCAGCATGGCACTATATACCTTCATTTTCAATCCTGCATGGCGCCGTCAAGAAGATATGAAGTAACTTTTGGTTGGAATTAAAGAGCGAAAGTTAATTACTTTCAGAAAACAATATTGTTACACGTTCCGCGGGGGTGCAGATACACTGCAGTTGGATTCCAACTAGACTTCACCCGGTGAATTTGGACCGATCTGACCCTTTACTTTGTTTCTACGGGCTAGATGTAGCCATGTCATCTCTTTTCAATTACACATTTACAATAGAAACAATTTTATCCACTTTTTCTTTAATTTTTTGCGTAGCCCGTCCATTCAGATCAATAGCCTCCGAAGAGCATCATGGAGGAAAAATTAATTATCTTGAAACTTTTTTTAACTGAGTTGTTATGAAATTAACAGTATCGAGACCTGCATCAAACTCATTCATCCTAATAATCGACAGAACAAGAAGCTTCTATCGGTGCAATGTTTTTATTTTGTTTGTTCTTATCTAATTGTTGTCATAAAGTTTGAATAAAGTTTGAAGATAACAAGTTCTCTCCTATACTGGATAACGTTTTTTTATAGGCTCTACATCATTTTTTTTGAAAGAAAATAGGCTCTACGAGATAGCAGCAACTAGGAGGAGAAAGGATTGGTTTAATCTAATCCATCAAATTAAAGGGACGGCTTGGATGAAGTAAATCCACCCGGTGGATTTGGAAGCAACTCCAGGGGATCCACACCCCGTTGCACGGTTATGTTTACATACATGCATTTCAATTCAAGCTTGTAGGTTTTGCGACATAAAAGTGGGAAAATTAAGTCCTTACGGGGGTGCACCCTTCCCTAGATGGTTAATTGGTTATTATGGAATTTTTTTTTATAAAAAGGGGTAACATACATAAATTGTTGTGTCATATATGTAACTGCACAAACACACACTTCCAGTTATAAATTCAATCTATGCAAGTTAAAATGAAAGGAACAAATGTAGCTATGAATTAAAAGTGCTTAACTATACTATACTATTTAGGGTTTAATTTGTGTGTTTTCTGTTTCTTGTTGACGTGGGGAAACTATTCTAATCCCTTGAGGGGATGTTCCCTCATTTGCTTAAAAACCATCTAAACGGTTATGAAAAATTCTAGAAAAATTTGACAACATTCATACAACACATATATACAACTCCACAAAATCTTAAGTCCAAACTCAACTCACACGTCGAGATATAAAAAAGACAAATTCAGCGTATGAATAGTAGCGTACTGTTTATATCTAAATTTGTCTTTTTTTTGTTTCTCGATGTGTAGATCGAATTTGAACATGAATTTTGGTGGACTAGTAGGTATCATTATACTCTATATTGTCAATTTTTTTTAAAAAAATTTCACAACTATTTGCATCGAATTTGAAAGAAAAAAAAGTATACGAGGGGATATCCCCTCGAGGGATTAGAATCCATTCCCATTGATGTGTAATCCTGTAAGGTACAAAGCCATAAATGTTTATATTTTAAAATTGAAATTCTATGTCATCAGTAATTTCAACTTAATTATCAAAATATTTTCATAACTTATTCAATTGATATTTGAGAGATTACAGGTATGCAAGGTTAAGGTCTAAATCAAAATTCGATCCCATAAAAGGCACTGTACAATTAAGTACAGTTAAAGTACCTTTCCCCACCTCCTCCAAAACAAATAAAAATAAAGAAAAAAAGCTAAGGTCATTAAGCATGCCAAATATATATGAAGAGGAAATTAAGAAAAAGTGGTAATGATACAACAACCAAGCAACTAAGCTAGAGAAAGAAAAGGCCGGGGGGCATCAGGGGCCGAAATTAAAAAAGGGGAGGGTCAATGCAACTGCCCCCACAAAGGTACAGGCAGTGGTGGAGGTGAAGGTCGATTTTGCCTATAGCTTATCATGACCACCTGCTTTACTAATCTCTCTCATGCATGCATGCAGCTAGTAGCTAGCTTAGCTGGGGCTCATCACTGGATCACCTTACCTTACTTTACCCTTGGCACGTACTCTGCACAGCAAATCAGCCAGAGGGATCGAAAGGGATATCGAAGGCAGCAGCAGCAGCAGCAGGAGCAGTAGGGCATGCGTGCACTGGAGCAGCGTGTACTGTGCGTCCAGGCACCTACCTGACAGCGACCTCCGCCCCTCCGGCCCCTCTCTCTCCGTCTAGCTAATTCGTTGATCGAGCTCATCTGCATTTCTGAGCTGGCTTTGCTTGCTTGCTCCTCCCCTTTTATACCAGCTCATTGGGAGCTCGGCTAGCTTAATTCTCCTCTTCTCAGCCTTTCCAACCTCAGCTAGAGCTACCATGGCGAAGCAGTCGTGCTGCCACAAGAAGAAGCTGAGGAGGGGGCTGTGGTCGCCGGAGGAGGACGAGAAGCTCATGAATCACATCGCCAAGTATGGCCACGGTTGCTGGAGCTCCGTCCCCAAGCTTGCAGGTAGCTAATTTAACCCATATGCAAATGCATACTACTGCATTATCTGTTAATTCTCAAAAAAAAGCATATTAATTCTGCTTGAGTAGCATGCAAGAACAGTTGTGTTGCTTTCGCTTGCATGCAATGTTTTGTCAGTGGTCTACAGTTACTGTTGCTCGATCTTGGCTAAAGCTAAATTCAGTTGAGAATTAATTGTGATGTTAATTAGGACTGGAGAGATGCGGCAAGAGCTGCAGGTTGAGGTGGATAAACTACCTGAGGCCAGACCTCAAGAGGGGCACCTTCTCCCAGGAGGAGGAAGACCTCATCATTCAGCTGCATTCCATGCTTGGCAACAAGTACGTACTGTATAGTAGTAGCACACACATCTGTCAATCTCTCTCCCGTTCTGTGCCATCTCTGACAATGGCGGCTGCCACTGCCACTGCACTGGCCAGGTGGTCGCAGATCGCGGCGCAGCTGCCGGGGCGGACCGACAACGAGGTCAAGAACTTCTGGAACTCGTACATCAAGAAGAAGCTCAGGGACCGCGGCATCGACCCCGCCACCCACAAGCCGCTCGCTGCCGACTCCTCCGCGACGCCCACGAACACGACGGCGGCGGCGGCGTCGAGGTCGACGGCCACCTGCCGCGCGGTGTTCAGCGACGCCGAGCTGCAGATACCGACGGCGGCGGCCGTGCAGCAGCAGCAGCAGGCGCCGCTCGTCGGCGCAATGCAGCTGGTCGACGGCATCAAGATGCCGCTCGACGACTACTGGCCTGCGGCGGCGGCGGCGGCGGCGCCCTCGTCGTCGACGACGACGTTCTCGGCCTACCACCACGCGCTGAGCATGCAGCAGCAGGCCGCGGCCGGATGCGGCGCCGCCGCCGCCTTCGACATGGACGCGCTGTCGCACTGCGGCGTCGTCGTCGCCCCCTCGGCGTCTAGCTCCAGCACGCTCACCTCCATGGCCGGCCTCAGCCCCGCCGCGGCCGACGCCGCCGAGCAGAGCGCCAACGTCGCCGCCGCCGCCGCCGCCACCACCACCAACCTGCCGTGGCTGGACCTGGGGCACGCCAACCCCATCGCGACGATGGACCACTACGCCGGCGTGCTGGACGAGCTCCGGTGGTCCGACTACTTCGACGGCGCATACCAAGCAGCGACGACGGCCACCCAAGGCGGCGCCCTTCAAGGGCAGTGCCTCTACGACGGCGGCGGCGGCGGCGGCAAGGACGTCGACGATGCAGTCCAATTCGTGGACGTCCATAGCCTAAGCAACTGGTGCTAATTACACATCGGTAACCTAATCCATCAACAAACCAACCCAAAAAAAACCAGCACTGCAAAACCAAGACATCCATATATACTACTCCCTCCGTCCCTCTATTTCAGGTTATAAAACGTTTTGAATTTGATTAAAGTCAAATTATTTTAAATTTGGCTAAGTTTATAGACAAATATAATAATATTTATAATACTAAATTAGTGCCATCAGATCAACAATTGAATATATTTTTCGTAATAAATTTATCTTGGGTTTAAAATGTTACTATTTTTTTTCTATAAACTTGGTCAAACTTAAATCAATTTGACTTTTACCAAAGTCAAAATGTCTTATAACCTAAAACGGAGGAAGTACGTACATACTACGCTCCAACACTACACATCAAATTTATACTGCTATATATAGTAGTGTTCCAATTTGGTGTTTCTTAATTATTTTTTTCACCCTATATTTATGTTGTATATTTTGGTGTTGAGCAGATTAACTAAGTCAGTGTGACATTGAATTAAGCTGTTAATTTGCCACACATGTAAAGTACATGGTAATGTTGGTACATATATTACAGAGAGAGAGATCGAGGGATATCGATGATGGGCCATGCATGCACGTGGTTAAATAAAGAGTACCAAAATTATTAGCTGATTAATCTTGGGCCTCATCATCATCATCATATGCGTGCAGTCATGCACATATAATTATATTTGACTTTATTTTCGGGGCCCCTCATTATTCTCGTTTTCGTCGTTTCTTGATTTGTCCATTACTGCAAATTTTGGTCCCGTTTCTTTGGCTTTGGCTCAACTGTTTGGTTGATCCGTGGGCGTAATTTGTTTCCATTAAGCTCCATCCGTTTGTCCTGTAGGAGTAATGGTTAAGAGTAACACATATAGTGGCATCTGTTTTTAATTTCCCTATATTTCTTAATTCTTATGTCGGTTTATTTTGACAGAAGTTTATCAGAGATCTGTGTGAATTGACCTAGTACTGAGATTTGAGATGATAGAACTGGGCCACAATGATAGGCTTTTCATGAGGTATGGGCCAAGTATGGCCCATGGTAATTTTTCAACCTCGGGAACAGTATTGCTGCCACTCGCAGAGTTTCTTTTTCTGAATTTCTTATAAGATGAGCCCTTTTTACTTATACCCAAAATGGATCCAAATATATACAGATAAATTTGTATGTCATATACTTCATCTGGTCATAAATATATAAATATATGATGTTTAGGATATTTTTTTCAAACTTTGACCTTTAATTTTATAATAAATAAATAGTTTAAATATTCATTAAAATCTACAGTTTAATTTAAATTCAATTATCCTAGTTCTCACTTCCGCTTTTAATAGATGACACCATTGATTTTTAACATGACGTTTGACCATTCGTGCTATTCAAAAAAGTTATACAAATGACATTTATCTTTTTGTGTCATGTATTATCATTAAAGAAACTTTAAGTACGACTTATACTTTAGCATATTTTTACTATTTTTTAATAAAATAAATGGTCAAACGTTATTCCAAAATTCAACGGTGTCATCTATTAAAAAAACTGTATATTTAAATTAAATATCTCTGATTCAATTATCCAGTCGTACTATATATATCTCGTCCTAAATATTTCTGATATATACTTTTCATGAGGTATCTTTTTTTTCTCGATCGGATATATGTGAAGCAAGAGTTCAATAAATTTAGCATCTCATCGATTGCTTAATTATCAGCCTATCCTATTACAACCAAAATTTGAGTTGAAACACAATTTTATATTTGAACTTGATTGTCTCTATATTCTCCAGCATTAGTATATAAACCGCCAATAGTACAAACGTAAAAAAATTTATCCATAAATTATTTTTGGTTGCTTCATTTATTATTTTTTAAGCGCCTTATCAGCCGTAGCTCAAATGATCGGAACCTACATTCCATTTCCTTTTTCCCCCAAAAGTTAGTCCTCTGACCCGACCAGGGTTTGTCCAAGGAATTTCACAGGAAACAGCTCGATCAAGCATTTGCACGAGCGGAGGCTGAATGGGGTGATCAGGGATATTATTGGGTCCGGGCGAGAGGCCAGATCACGTCCACTACTGAGTCTGAGGTCCAGCACCGGCAGTGCACAAGTTGGTGCCTGTCTCATGATACCGATCGATAGATACACGACACACACACACCAGGAAATGCAAAATGCAAATGCAATGCTTATGGTGCCTCGGTCCCGGCTGTAACCGTGTTCCTGAATATTTATATAGTACACCCACCGTACCAACATCATTTGTAGTTTCTGTATCGTCCATCTTATGTAAAAAATTTATAAAAAAATAAAAAATAAGTGACGTATAAAGTATTATTCATGTTTTATCGTCTAATAACAATAAAAATACTAATCATAACTTTTTTAAAAAATAAAATAAACGATCAAACGTTAGACACAAATCTGATCACAAATAGCTTTATTTTTGAGACGGAGGATGTATCACTCTATCCTGCAGTAACCGAACTGAATGTGGTGGGCCCACATGTCAGGCAGTACTAGCTAGTACTATCTCTGCAGTTTCAATAATTAGCTGCAGAGAGGTTGGCCAGGGAGAGGAGAAAGAGAGGGGCATATCTTTTGATCATTGAGATCTGAGGAGATCATATGCATGGAGTAGTTCTCTTTTCTCTTGTCGACGATGATCGCTGAGCAATAATAATCATTGGGGGGAGGGGGTAATGAGGGGCAGCTATAGCTGCGGATAAAGATGCAGGGTGCTCGTGCTAGCGAGCTGGAGTAGTACTACTGCTACTACTGCTAGTACCAAGGTTGGGGTGGTCTCGCCAGAAAGGACGACAGGGTGCAAACCAACTCATGATTATACATGTCGACCCCCTCTCACTTTGACTTCTCATCACGTGCACCTGTGGTGTTTTGGACAGCTGTGCTAGTTTAAGTACTTACGCTGCGTTTAGTTTCAAAGTTTTTTTTTAAACTTCCAACTTTTTTATCACATTAAAACTTTCCTACACACACAAACTTTAATTTTTTTCCGTCACATCGTTCCAATTTAAATCAAACTTTCAATTTTAGTGTGAACTAAACACATCCTTAGTATCAGAAAAAAATTTAAAAAATTATATAGTATTGTTATTCAATATAGTCTCGTATATTGTTATGGTGAAAGCTATTGGCCGACTAGATTCAACTTTTATACTTAGAATGTGTGCTTATATTTATGATTAATAATTTTTCCAGTGGTAATTGATCAGCGTCCCCGTAACGAGACGTATGTAGTGACTCTGTCAATCTTAACATATGATGACTCAGTCTTTGTGGATGCTTACAGGGGTAAGGTATATGTTTATATATTGATAGACGTGAGTGTACACACGTGTATAGGAGCACATGCGCACAGTGTTTCACAAGAAAATAGCACAGTTATAGTATTTTGAAATATATTAGAAGACGCACATTTGGCCATACCTTTTCTAAAAGTTAAAGTCGAAATGTTCAAAAGGATATTGATGATCAAAGCTTAAATGTGTATAGTTCACGTATTCTGAAATGTCACTTATTTATGACTAGGTTGAATGCTGATTATTTACAATAAATTAATTGTTTCAAGTATACCGCAAGGTAGCTTGTGTAAGGATCGAAGATGTTAGGCCTTGTGACGCACAAATAGTGTATACATGTGCACGCCATCCTCAGGATAATAGCATTATGTCCTATTGTATGTATTGATTTGGTAGAATGTTTGGAGCACAACGAGACGAGGAACCCTAATCTAATCTAGTCGACTAATCCGGTGAGATCCTTGAGTAGGAGCTTTACTGATTCTTGTCATGATCTTCGATTGGTATACTTGATGGCTAGGGCTTGAATATCAGTTTGTTGTTTTTTTTATGGTGCATTGGCCCTCTTTTGCTCGGAGAGGCTTTGGTTGTTTTTACACCACGATGTCCTTTGGGACTCGTAAAGATAATAATTCTTAGTTAATATTGAAAAGTTTGGGTGCTGTTCTTTTTCATCTTATTGTACATACCTTAATTATTGTTAAACTTCTTCCTTAGTCGGCACGAGTAGCATCTCTTCTCTTGGAGAAATAGATATATTTATACTAGAAAAAAAAATACTTGTGCGTTGCAACGGATGAAGGCTATTTTAATCTTATTATTGTTCACTGTGAAAATCGTTGTGAGAATTAGTTTGGATATATAATTTTTTAGAAAATCATGTCAAGTTAGCATGCAAGTTTTTTTTAAGAAATTTGTTATACGACTCCTTTTGTATTTCCAAAAGTGAACAAACTTAAAACCCGACTTAAATACGGATCTGTATTTCCATAAGCGAACGAACTTATAAACCAACTCATACACGGATGACGTATCAAAATACTGGCAAAAACATCTTCAATTTTAATAATAGTAGAGGTATCCGTGAGGGATCTCTTGTTATAGCCTTGAGGCTTTAACTATGGTACCTTCAAGTTGACCATTTATATAAAATGAAAACGAAAGTGATAATAGAATGTTACGATTTTGCTATCCATCTTCCGTGTGATTTTTTTGCTGGTATTTGACACTTTTTGGCCTCCATGCAGCTTGCGATGCGAGCGGCAATTTGCAAGGTCGACGTTCCATGCAGCTCGCCGGCCGGCTGGCACGTCGGCCTGTGTTACCTAGCTACCCCGCGCGCGCGTGATGATGGAGAAGCACGGTGCCAAGGTGGCCTCTGATTGAGCTGGCCGCCGGCAGTACGGCCACTCTCGTCGTCGTCGTCGTGAAATATAAAGTTACAGTACTATATAACTAAAATTATATTTGTAAATTCAATTGATATAGCATGTAAGTGTACTGTAATTTTGATAAAAATAATGTGTAAGTAAATATATATTTGTTAGTTTCTTTAAAATATAAAATTGCAATCATATATAACTAAAATTACATTTGTAAATTCAGTTGATATGGCATCTAAGTGCACAGTAATTTTGATAAAAATAATGGGTAAGTAAATATATATTTTTTATTTTCTTTAAAATATAAAATTACAGTCATATA